CCCCTGACTGACCCCCATGTCAGGAGAGGATCTTTCCACCCCAAAATATTCCCTGCATTGGATCGTTGCCTTATCAGCCAGTTTTAATTATGACATAGATATGGTTAAGGGGATAAAAGGGTTTTATTGAATGGGATTTTAGGTGTACAGTTTGACAGAATGGAAGAAATGTTGGAAAATGTATTTTATGTGTAGTATATGCAAGTGTATATATGTATATAAGTTTTATAGATTTTATAAATTAATTTGGAATTTTTAATAAGAAATTTAACAAATAAAGTTATAATTATTTTATTTTAAAGAATTTTTTTTTTCATGCAGTTAGAGTTCAGTTTATATGTATTAGAATATTTTAATTAAGGCTGGAGTTTTAGGTTTAAGACAGTATAGGGCAGGGTGATTTTTTATTGAGGATGTTTGGTTTTTTTGTTTGGCAGATTTTTTAAATTAAATTAGAATATTAGGTTATAAGAATTATAAGTATGTAGGTTAAGGGTACGAGGGATAATAAAGGGCACAGAAAATGTTTAAAAGGGTTTTAAAATATAGGAAAGGGTATATAAAATATAGAAAAGGGTATATAAAAAGGAAAGGTAAAAATTCTCAATATGAAGAGCTGTGTTTGCAGAAAGCACCAACACCTTGGTGTTAATTATAAACAGAAATTATCCTGTGGTTCGTTACAGACAGACATCCCTGGCAGGGTAGGAGCAGTGCTGGGGTAGATCCCAATGTCCCCATAAATCTCCTTTTCCTGTCCCATTTTCTCGGGATGCTGGGGCTGGGTTTCCTTCTCTGGCAGCGCTCACATCTCTCTATCACCACTGATGGAATCACTGCTGAGGAAAAGTGGGATCGTTTGACCCCAAAGCCAATTCAGTGCCACCCCAGCCATGGCAGGGACACCTCCCACTGTCCCAGGCTGCTCCTAGCCCCAGTGTCCAGCCTGGCCTTGGGCACTGCCAGGGATCCAGGGGCAGCCACAGCTGCTCTGGCAATTCCATCCCAGCCCCTCAATTCCTTCCCAATTTCCCATCCATCCCTACCCTTTGGCAGTGGAGCCATGTCCTGTGTCTTGTCCCTCCATCCCTTGTCCAAAGTCCCCAAAAGGTGGAGGGACTGATTTATGCTGTGAAAATTCCTTTTCCAGCCCAAGTTTGATTGGAAGTGGGATTTGTCTCTGCCTGTGCTGCCATCAGGTTCTTCTGAGCATCCCTGATCCCCAAAGGGAATTTTTGCTGTGTGTTGCCCTTGTCTATGAAAGACTTTGTTGACTTCCAGGATTATCCTGGTCCATCTCATCCCCTTCCTTTGGGATTTGGGTTCAGCAGGAGCTGGGGGAACATTTGGGRTCTGAATTCAGCAGGAGCCTGGTGAAGCCCCTCCCCAGCCGAGCCGTTTGTGCAGTGAGTTCTGGAAGGTCTGYGTGGCTTTCCCGGCTGCTGCAGCAGCTGTTCCTTCCTTTGGGGCCCATGAACAAACCTGGGCACCCCGGGGCAGCCAGCAGCTGCCAGCCCTGTGCCWCTGCTGCTCCAGGAGCCAGAAACCAAACGGGAATTCCTCGCCCTCACCCTCGCTGGCCTCAGCCCAAGTGCCGGAGCAGCGGCCAAGAGTGCCGAGGTGGTGGCAGGTCCAGCTGCTCCTGGAGCTGGTGCCAGGGTTGGTGGCATTGGGGTGCCCAGCAGGGACACCAGGGAAGGGTTTGTCACCCTGGAGCACTCCCAGATCCCCATGGATTGCTCCCTCCAGGAGTGTCCTGCTCCCGTCAGAGGCTTCGGGGCTCACATGGGAAAAGCGACACATGAGGAGTGAAGGAGCTTGGAAAGGACAGGGGGGAAGCAAAGCCCTGATTTAACAGAATTGTCACACGTGGCAGAGATCAGAGCATCTTCTCCAGATCCCTCATTCCCAGGGTGGTGTGAGCTGCACCCAGAGCTGTGTGTGGCTGATTCTCATCATCCCAGCAGGAGCTGAGATGCACCCAGACCCCGCTGTGGCTCCCACTGGTGCCTTATCGGGCTCACCTAAACCAGAGGCTGGACAGAATTCAGAGAATCCAAAGCAGTTCTGTTGATGGCAGGGCCTTCAGGGCCATCCAGAGCAGTCCAGCCCAGCCAGGGGCTGCACCCACAATGGACAATGGCTCACGG